GCCGCAGTAACTAACCGGAGTGGAGCCTTGGTTCATAGCTAAAAGAGAAGGAGTTTTAGTGGACAGATTTGATTTTAGGGCTCATAAGACTTCTTTTCTAGAGTCTGTGCACCTAAAATGCGGCTGCGAACAGACGTCGGCCTTGTAACATTGTGACAAGTGGTTTGCTCTGAAAATGTCTGCTAAATTTTCACCTGCTCGTACAGCGAAGTTGTGCGCTGGACGTGGGTACTGAGCTTGGAATGAGTTTTTTTCGGCGTAAGTTTTTCGATTAAGACAAAATTCTGAAAATCGGTTCTTGAGAACTTTAACATAAATATGGATGAAAAAATGCTCATGAAAACAACCATAGCTTAACTTTGCTAAATCTTCTCTGGTAGATCATTTGAGCTTATACTTCAGAGTGCTCCACCTGGGGCTAACTGTGATTGCCCTTCATACAAAACCTAAATTCGGATTGTGCTTTTTTTTGTTCTCTAATTTAGCTGGAGAAAGTGAAGGTCGTCCACTTGCCAAGACATATGCGCGTCCCAAATAATTTGAATCGCTTTAATCATCTCGTCTTAGCTTACGCAAACATTTCATTGTGACAAAAGAGTTCACATATTTGTTGCTGTATAAGAAATTTGCTATTTTTTCAACTGATTTTGCAAATTTTTTTGTTGTACGTACAATAAATATCTCAACTAGCGATCAGGCAGTTTATTTCGACAACTATTATCAACGTCAACATCTATGTTTGTATGTATGCGCGTATGTATGTCAGTGTGCGCACGGTAAGTAATGGCGTCATTGTCATTATTTTGTGGCCGTCGCGCCAAATTGTCGTTGCCATATTGTTGCTGCAATATTGTTAGAGACAGACACACACACACACACACACATACACAATGCTCATACGGCGATGTTTTGTTGCTTTGGCAGCTGGCTATTTGCGATTATTTTGTTGTCATCATTGTTGTTGTTGTTGTTGTTGTGCCAAAACGACATATTGTTCACCTTTTGTTCTCGAATCAACAACATGTCTGCTGGTTCTTGTTGCTTTTGTAATTATGATTATGATGTAGACCATTGTTTACATTCACCCATTCATTACTGTTGCTCTTGCCGCTGCTGCTGCCGCTGACTGTGTTGCTGCTGTTGTTGTTTACATTCTGCTAACGTCGTTTGTCTGATTGCAGTAATTGACGCAACGTTGGCAATGACGTCCTTCAAAAATGTATTTTTGGCATTCATTTTCGCTCTTGTAGGCCTGCGCGCATAGTCAGCCCAGCACTTGCTGGCATACATACATACGTGTACACACGAGTACGTATGGCGATCTACAAGATTTCATATGTCAATTTGTCCGAGTTATGTGGCTATTTTCGTTGCTCTATTCATTATTTTCGTATTTTTTATGCTTTTTTAGCCAGGCTTTGCTGCCAACTGTCAGTTTTGTTGCTGATTGCTGACTGATGTTGTTGTGGCTGTCAGCTTAAATTATATATTATAAATTGATATTTATTGTTGTAGTAGTAGTAGCTTTTGTTGTTGTTGCTGTTACAAATCAACTATTTTTGTCATTTATTTGCGATTTCATTCTCATGTTTTTTTTTTTTTCTTTTTTAAGCCAAAACATAAAAATATTTGCCTTAATCGGTATTTCTTACACTTGCTTTGGCTTAAATGAAAATACAAAACTATTAGGTTAGTAAAAAGATATACATTATTTTTGTATGAGATTGAAAAGTTGAATTCTGGCTTTTTGTATCCGTATTGGTCAATCGAAACAGTGCTTACAAGGCGGTCGGTCAAATCTTGTACTCTTTTTATTGACATTGAGACGGCATTTCAAGCTCCTTACGTACAGCTTCAAACGAAACTATTGGGTTTCGTAAAGGTCGACCACAAAACTGAAGAGGGAAGCAAGACACATCTGCAGACGAGAAAGGGAAGAAAGAAAGGTCGAGATGCGTGAGTACGAAGATTTTAAAAAGCTGGCCGACAAGGATAATGCTCGAGAACTCTTTGAGAGGATACGGCGACTTACGGAACGTTTCAAGACCGGAGCAGACTCTTGTAGGACACAAAGAGGTGATCTAGTCAGCCCAGAGTATATTGAATTTATGGAAGGAACACTTCTCCAGTCTGCTGAAGTGCTGTAAAAATCGAGTATCCGGAGATAGTGAACCCGAAACCCCCATCGACCCTCCCAATCCATAAAAAAGGGGACCCCACAGTCTGCACCAAATTATCGTGGGACAAACCTCCCTAATATCGCTTATATGGTCCTGCCGAGCGTATTGTGTGAAAGGCTAAACCTAAGGGTCAACAAACTGATTGAACCTTGCCAGTGTGGCTTTAGACCTGGTAAGTCAACCATAGACCAGATATTCCCCATGCGCCAAATCGTGGAAAAGACCCGTGAAAAAAGTATCGACTCACCACCTCTTTATCGATTTTAAAGGTGCCTTCGACAGCAGGAATAGGAGCTTCCTGTACGCCGCCAAGTCTGAATTTGTTATCCCCGCAAAACTTATACGGCTGTGTAAACTGACCTTGAGTAACACCAGCGTCAGCCTACAAATCCAACGCAGAATCACTCTAGCCAACAGGTAGACTGAGTAGGCAATTAAAAAATAAAGTCCTCCCTCTACGAACGAAAACCCAACTCTATAAGTCCCTCATGGTTCCCGTCCTGCTATATGGTGCGGAAGCATGGACGTTGACAACATCTAATGAGTTGGCGTTAGGAGTTTTCGATAACGTAAATTGTCCTCCACGTGTAGGGAACGGCGAATACCGCAGACGATGGAATGATGAGCAGGATGAGATGTACGGCGAAATTGACACATTCAGCGAATCAAGGACAGCGGCTGCTATGGCTAGGTCATCTGCATGGATAAGAATACTGCAGTTTTAAAGCAGGGAAGGAGGAAGGTCGCCACTCCTTTGAAAAGACCATTAGATACCTGGTTGTACTTGTTATTTTCAATTGACGATAGCCCCCAAAATAAATAAATGTATGGTGCTCTGTTGTCAGCTCGGGCTATAGTCGCGTAAGCGAAGTCTAGAAATATTTTCAATAATCAAATTCAACTTTACTTTCGAAGAGACCTCGCACTGTGAAATTTAGGCAGCAGATCCCCTTTTCTTGTTTATACAGAATGAAGCTCCAGTCTTGAAACCTTCATAGAACTGATCATTTCCCGTGTTGACCATCTCCAGAAGCTCTTCATATTCCTCCATCTCAACACCTCTTTGCTTTCTTTTACAATTGAGTATCTATTCTTTTTAAACTTTCGATATCTCACCACATTTTTTCCAACATGTCAAAACCATTAGCTGGGTATGCAGCTGTAGGTAGTAAATTTGAGAGGCCGTCCCACAGCTCCCTTATTTTGAGTTGCTGATGAGGGCTCTCAGATCGCAATATTGCAAGTCGAGTAAAAGACCGTTTGGTAGCGTGTTATGGTTACGACTTTTAGATGTCGAAAATTCTTTTTGTTTGTTCTCCGGCGTTTTTTGCTGCTACAAGATTAGATGTTAATCCTCAGAGCGTCTGATAGATTTGGTCTCGAGTTTTTCGATCCTGAGAGAGTCAAGTAGCCTTATAAATTTTCTGGTATTGGAAGTTGTTACTACAGACAACCATATTTCTGTCGAATACCTACAAAGGTATACAGTTTAAGAGTGGCTCTGGCTTCAAAGTGACTCTCAAATATAAATTGTTCTGACGCTTTGTATACTATATTCAAATTTTGAGAGTGCTTTTTAGTGCCTCATTGGGTTGAGGCTATTATTTGTATTTTGTATTGTCTGAGCGAACGCCTTTGATTGTGATATATTTCTGTTAAGAATGATCGCTAATTGAGCACTTACGGCGCGAGTATTCGTTCGATATCGTGGAATATTTCGAACTTATTTGTTAAAATAGATCACCAAACTAAAAACAACAAACTATCATGTATATGGAACTGGATTCGATTCCTGGTCCGATCAACATTCAAAATTCTAACAAATTAATTTAAAGAAAAATATTAGGTTAATTTTTCTAATTCTGTCGCTCCTTGGCAGGGAACGCCAACTCTCCCAAATGGGATTTCCTTTTCTGTGTCCCTTTGCTTTCTGAGGGAGGTGTGGTTTTCTGTGGAGTGACGTTTTGTTGGATTATTTGCTTGGAAAATAATTCCCGGTCTCTACTTAGACGATATCCGTACAAGCAGAGAATGTATTGATGGAATATTTGGACCTACGATATTTTGATATTCTCATTTTTTTTTTTAAATTATCACGGCTTTAATACAGCAATAACGTAAATGTAAGAAGTTTTTGTCTTTTCTCTAAAATTCAGTTCCGTTGATTCATTTTCCACTGTCACTTAAATGCTCTTTTGCAGTAGCTTGTGGTCAACGGCGTGCTCCAGTGATTCGCAAATATTTTCGGACACGGTTTTAGTGGTTTTTGGTATGTTGGAATTTTCACAAATTTTCCGTTTCACCTGTGCGACATCTGCGGTGGTGAGTAAAAGCATAAAAACCAAAGTGAAATACGTCTAAGCTCGCACAACCAAAACAAACAAAACAAAAACTGAAAAAAAAAAAATTGAAAGTGAAACAATTTTTTGGTTTTGTTTTCTTGGATATTACTGTGGTGGTTGTTGTTGTTATTATTGTTGTCATTGTCACTGCCTGCGGTGCATTGCCGTTTTGCCAATTTCACGCTCTATTTGGTTTATTTACAATAACTTTGTTTTTGTTGTTTGTTCTTTGGCATCGGCCAAAGGCCATTGGGTAGATTGGTTCGGTTCGTCGTGGCAGTACGTATGTAGTATGTAGAATTTTTTTATTGTTATTGTAGTTCTTGCAGTTTTATATAATATATAAACTTAATTTTCATTCAACTTAATTCATTTATTCTATATTTGTACAGACATATATCCACACATATATGTATATTTGTTTATTTGTTTATTTCACCAACATATGCATACATACGAGTACATATGTATCTTTGACATATAACTAAATACATATATACATATTTTAATTCAGTTTATGCTCCTCAATTTCCACTGCTTCCTGCTTCGTTGCGCTAAAATAAAGATAAATAAACATTTTGAAAAACATTTTGACCAAAGTTTCTCGAATAGAAAACGCACTGGTTGTTAATGAAATACCTACCTTTTATTTCGTGCTTATTGGGTCACAATGATTGGCAGCCAGAACATGGGGCTAATTGAGTTTTTAATTGTTGTCAAAAGTAGAAAAAAAAAACATTCTTAATTTATTTCGATGCTCGGACACTAAATTTTCAATAAACGCACATAACTACTATGTTCGTACACACATATGTACACGGTGTGTCCCAAAAAATAACGAACTTTATATTTAAAAAGATACATTCATTCTCTTTCAAACGCACCTAACATCATGTAAGTCGGATGACAGATGTAAAAGTGACAGCCATTTCAATAAAACCAAAAGTGTGCTAATGGTTCAAAAATAAAATGGAACAAAGACCAAAAAAAAATTTTGTGTCAAACTTAAAAAAAAATTAATGAAAAAAGTTTATTGTGATGATTGTATGAGTCGTACGCAAGTTTATACGTGATTTACACGATTAAAAATGGTCGTGAGGATTTAAATGACGACCCTAGGGCAGGACGTCCAGAGACTAGTAATCGTGCTGAGCTGGTGGAAAAGTCCGTGAAATCATTGGTATCGATGCAAATTTTACTACGAGAATGTTGGCTGAGGAATTGAATACGAGTAAAAACACTATTTGGAGAATTTTAACTGAAGATTTGGGGAAAAGAAAGGTCTGTGCGCGATTTGTTCCACATGAATTAAATGACGACCAAAAAATCGCTCGAATTTTTAATGAAAAAAGGGATTTCTCTCATCGACTATCCTCCATATTCGCCTGATCTATCACCATTTGACTATTTTTTATTTCCAAAACTGAAAACCAAGATGAAGGGAGCATTTTATGATGATATCCCAGCTATTCGAGCAGCCATAACCGAGGTACTGAAGAACATTTCTATAAATGACATAAAAAAATCTATGCATACGCTGGTTGATTGTTTCAAACGTTGTGTTGAGTCAAATAGAACCTATTTTGAATAAATATTAACTTTCAAAGATAATATAATGTGTATTTTATTTTATATCCAAAAAGTTCGGTTATTTTTGGGACACACCGTGTATATGTATGTATATGTGCTTTGTTAAAAGTTTTCTACAGGAAAATTGTATTCTGCAAATTATTAATTTGTTTTTATTATATTTAATGCATTTCGTGTGTATTTCGTTTAGTCCAGCAAATTAGGATTAACCGGATTTCATAAATCCATTATTTTGATTTAAAAAAAAAACCAACCGCAAACTAAGCATTTTGGCTAAGGCCGTATTCCTTAAAAATTCACTGGTTCTCGCCGGCAAAGAACAATAACAAACTAGCCTTAAGGAGTCTGAAAGTCTTCTCGGATACATATAACGAATGATCCAAGTAGAGGCACTTTTTTCAATAGCCTTTTTTTGACAGATCACGCGTGAGTCGTGCAAAGCTGTCATGTTATTTTTGTTCAGTATTTTTTGGTTTACAAATCGTTCAATTTTATACGAAAATTCTCTTCCAACGGAGCATACTAGTCGCCACACCAACACCCATCTGGAGATTCAACGTGTGTTGCTGGATAATATTCAACCGAATGACCACGTCCAGCATGTAGTGAAGAAAATATAGCGGCCGTAGCTAAGAGTGTATACGAAGACCGTGGAGAGTCGCTTCCACACCGTTCACAATAATTCAAACTGACGTATGGCACGTCTTGGCGCATTTTACGTCGAAATCTTAAAGTGAAAGCATTCAAAAAACAGTTTTTGCAAGAACTGAAGCCGCTCGACCATTTCAAGGGATATCGCTTCGCTTTTGAAAAGTTTCAAGAAGATCCAACGTTTTCGAGCCAAATTTTGTTTAGCGATGACGCCCATTTGATTGATCGGTTTTCAACGATAGACCATCTTCATTCCATTGAATTTGAATTGTATCTCGTTTTCGTTAAAAAAGAATGGAACTTCGAAGTGCATCAGCTTTTAGAACTGAAAACCGCTGAGGTGACTTTCAGCTGTGCTTTTACCGCAATTTGTGCTGTGCGTCTTAGTGAAGACATCTACAATTTATTCCAGGCCATCGACGAGCGGCCAACAATTTTTTATGAGTAGCTTTCATTTTCATGCCGGAAGTACACTCGGAGGGCCTGACTTTCCGTGCCGAGGGACACCTTGGTTCTTCCAACGATGCCAGGAACAGTAGAAAAGAAGTCAGCGAAATGTAAACATAGTTCTCTACGATGGATTTGGTCAGTGAATCATGTGAATTATGAGGAAGAATTGTCGCATGGCAGGATAAGGTTCTGTGATTAAGAGAGAATAATTTCTTCGTACTCAGGAGTACAAAAGCTTCAAGTTGTTCAAATAGAACCGTATTTGTTTTTCAGGCAGATTTAAGGGATGAAAGTTTGACCAGCTAGGCAAAGCTTAGGAAAGCTGAATTACTGTTTGGTTAATGGATCGGCTTCACCACTTAGCGCCTTAATCTCTGCATCACTGAACTGGGGTACATATGTTGCACTCAAGGCTAATGAGATGACATTCTCTGTTGAGTAGAATTTTACGAAAAAACTTTATTGAGCATAAATTATGAGAAGTCTCAACTATTTTTAATTATTTAAACATCAAATCTTAATTTTTACTACCCATCATCAACAGTCTTAAACTTTGGTTAAGAGTAAATTAAAGAAAACCTCAAGATCCGAATATCCATCAGCCAATCGCAGCTGAATCGTTAAAAAATCGGCACTTTTCTGCTGAAGCGATAATGAAAAGGGGATCACTTAGAGCAACGTCAAGAGAAAATCGCCATGGTCGAAGCGCAGTGAGCCGGCACAAACGATCTTGAAGCTAGCATTGGCGGCCAGAGAGGTTTTTTTGTGTGTTTGGTGGGATTTGCAAGGAACTATCAACTATGAGCTGCACCGTTAAAGCCAATTTCTTAATTCCGCCCTGTACTGTCAGCAATTGAACCGGAGAATCGGTTAACAAAAGCGGAATTGTATTCCATAAGGGCAACGCCAGACCACACACATCGATAGTGACTTGCCAGAAGCTACGAGTTCTTGGTTGGAAGATTCTTATGCATCCACTTTATAGTGCGAACTGGCGGAGAATTGGCACAAGGGAAAGTCTTTGACAATTCGATTGTCCCAATTTCTTACCAATAGGGACAAGGGTTTCTTTGAATGAGGCATAATGGCATTACCTATAAAAGAGCAAAAAGGTATATGTGTTTATTAGTTGTAGTAAATTTGTGTAAATCTGTGTTGGCGACTTGACGGTTACTAACTTCCTGAATAGGTACGCGTAGACATTTGTGTGCACGTATGTATGTTTGTAGCGATTTCCTCATTGATTTCCTTTTTTTTTTATTTGTCCATTTTCTCTCATTACTGCACGTGTCTGGGTAAATATTTGCAGAGTGTTTTTTAAGCTGCCGCTTTTCTTCCATATTTGTCTCCAACACTTTCTATATAAAGTGAACTCTTTTAGCTTCCTCTTCAACGCTGCTGACTCTTACTTTGTTGCTTTGTATAAACTTCTGCGTTTATTCATTTACTGTCGATGGTGAAAACTGAATTGTTAACTTCCCTTTGCTCATATAAAGCTCTTGAAGAGTACACACTAATGTACATTAAGACCAGAAAGTTTCCGGAAATTGTTGTTGCACACGGTTGTTTAATAAATAGTACCATTGGAGCGTTATGAGGCGTTAAACAGCCGGCATGGTACGCCAACAATTTCCGGAAACTTTAATGGCGATAATGCGCCATCGGACCGGGCTGTACTTTTGACCGATTTTAAGACCAAAAACTCGTTCAATACCATCGATCAACCACGGATTTGGTTCATGTTATTTTTTTCCTTTGTTTCCAAAACTCAAGTTACCACTCGATTCAGGCCGTAAAAGAAAATTCGCAGAGGAAACTGAGATCGACTGATTATAACAGCTGCTGCTAAGGAACCGATCGTGAGATCGCGCTTATTTTTTGCGTAGTCATTAAGGACAAGTTAACAACAAAAGTGCTGCAAAATATTCAGCGCGGGCAGTTTAAACAACAATTTCTGGAAACTTTCTGGTCTTAATGTACGCACAATTCACGTATTTGTCTATTCATTGCCGACAATCTTAGTTGCAAAGATTTTGCAATTTTTTTTTCTGTTGCTACCGACAAACAGCAAGGGATTACCGTCTGTCTGTCTGGCTGTCTCATAGGCAAAGCTAAACTCCAAGAAAAAACACAAGTGGTTTATTGTCATCGATGGTCTTAACGGTGTACCAAAAAGTACCGTTACAATATACCAACATGCGAAGTCTCTGATGCCAAGCCCTATTATCGCCAACAAATAGTTTGCGTAGTGAGATTGCAAAAAGACATACAAAAAAAAAAAGAAATTAAAATAATAATAATTAGACGGATACGGAAATGAGCTGCTGTTGCACGTTGCAAGCTGCATGTGGTAAAAGTTTATGCTGAAAAATAGTTTTTCAGAAGCAAATTCATTGATTTCATCCGGTTTTTTGGTCACAAATCTCCCTTTTGTGGCAAAATTGATGTGAACAGGTGGTTGCGTAATAACACGGCGAGCTCGGTGAACATTTTATTTTACGTTCGGAACCGTTCAATTGGCCGCCTAGATTGTGGGATTTAACGCCTTTAGACTATCTCCTGTTGGGCTATGTTAAAACTAATGTCTATACAGACAAACCCTTCAATTGACGCATTGGAGGACGGCATTGAAGTATTTATTCGTGTGAGACCGGCAGAAAAGTTCTTCAAACATTGAATTATATGGACCGTGCTATCGATTCACATAAAGATTCCAAGCATTTTTCTGAAGTCAATGTATTTTTTTTTTTTTTTTTTAATTTTCCTATAGCTCTTAAAAAGCCACCTTTTATAAGTAGAGTTTGAGTTAATCCGTTTAAATCTCATCTTATTCTAATTTAGATTTAATTTGTTTTATTTTATTTTTTATTTTCGGACTTCAAATATTTTAGTTCAATTCATAGTTTTTTCTTTTATTTTTGTTTAAACTTATTAAATATTTATACTGTTATACCTTTCATGAGCCTGATATATTAGTACCAGAAGGAGAAGAGATGCAAAAAA